CAGGAGATGCAGTGATGTGGAAAACCTATGTCCTAGTAACAATATTTTAACAACAGGACTTCAGTGTCAATGCTAACATCTACAAGCTAAAAGAAGCAGCTGCCCTCTCTCCTGTTTAGAGCAAAATCCTAATGCTTCAGAATTTTTTAACTTGCATATCACTACTTTTTAGTAGTCAGCCTCCAGTTGTTCTGCTTTCTAACAGGAGATTAGCAATTAACCACAAATAACTCCCCAGGTTTCAAATCTATTCGTCCTGTCATTATCAGGATTGCAGTAGACCATTTTTGCTTATTAAGAGCACATTACTGAGTGAGTGTTATAATTGAAATAGCTGTAACAGCCATAAAAGTAAATGAATGCATGAGGTAACTTATTCTCCACTTTATAAACTAAGGCTTCCTGCAGTCATTAGGGACCAATTTCACCTAGCTGAGGCTGGAGCTTACAGGAAATGTGATGCCCTCTACTTCTTCTGTGTTCATGTGCCATAGCAACAAGTCTCTTCTAACATACCTGTCCAGGAACATGGCTTCTGTTAAATCCTTACTTAAACATAACATGCAAAGCAACCTTTAACTGCGTGTTGTCATTATGCAGGCCAACCGTTAAATATAAACGCAATGCATTCACACTTAGACACACTTTGTAGTAAGGAATCTGTAGATTCTAAGACAAGTATTTCTAAGCATGAGTATACCCTCCAAGGCACATAGCAGATCCCTATCGTAAAGGTGGCTGTGCGTTACCCCAAAGACTGCAAGAAACCTACTGGAGCCTGTTTTTTTTCTTTCATCATTTCCAGTTGTCCATTCTTCTTTTATTTCTAGATAGTAGCAGAGTACTGTTCCCTCAACAGGGGTGAGGAGGGTGGGGCTATCTAGAGCTGAGGGAAAGTAAAACAATGGAGAGAAAACAAACCATATGTGAAACAGAAGCAGTAGAGGAAAGGAAAAATGTCCAGAGGATGTAGGTAACAAGAAATTACTTGGAAAAGGGAAATAATGAAAAGAAGTAAGGTGAATCATGCAAGACAGTCAAAGAGATTTAACAGGTTACTATTGAAGAGGTTTCACTGCTCCCTTCCCTTGTTAACATTAGCTTTGTCATTCATCAAACCTTTTGGTAGTCCAACATATCTCACTAACCTAAAAAAAAAGTCCCCACTTTCTTCCTCTCCATTCTCCCAATTCTCTTTCTGTTGAATTAGCAACTTGAAGCAGTAAAAAAAAAATTCAAAAATCTAACAGCACCATGACTGACAAA